CATAGATTTATTATGCTCTCATTTGCCCTGCCTCCAGCCAGTGGCAGAACAAAGCAGCACAAGACTACAGTACAGGTTGGAGTAATGGCAACAAGAAATCATGTACAGGAGAAGGAAAGAGTGGCCTCATTGGGTGATACTGCAAGGCTGGAGCTCATTTCTCACTCTGGACCACAACTGTACATGTCATATCGCCTCTCAGGGGGACTCTACTTCTCTACCACAGTCTGGTATCCATTCCAACTAGAAGAGCTAGACACTAAATATGGCGCCTCGTTTATGGAGGAGATTTACTTCCATTGTGCATTGTTTGAGATGAATAAGCTATGTGCATTGGTTCCTTCACTCAAGTACATTGACCTGGGGGACTGGTCTAAGTACTTCAATAAGAAACTGGGAGAGTTGTGGAGAGTCCTAGCCATCAAATCGTTTCATGAGTCGAGATATTTAAACAACATCCTAAACTGGAAGGGACCTGAGTTCTTTGGATCTGACATCGGTTGCAGTAAGAATCCTGTTATTAGCATTGAAAGTGGCCCTGTTCATTGTCTAGCATTTAATGGAGGAGGGAAGGATAGTCTAGCATCAATGAAGCTTCTTGAAGACATAGGAGAGCCCTTTCATTCAATAAGCTATGCATATTCAAAGTTTGGTAAAGTTCAGGGACAGTATGATCTCACAGAGTCCCTTGTTAAGTACACTGCATCAAAGGCACACCACCGACTGACCATTGATACATTCATGAGCTCACCTCTTCCTGGAGTAATCCCTAATGCTGAAGTCAAGTCCATTGTAGCTTTTTCATTATTCAGTGCTATAATTGAGGCACTACCATTGGTACTAATGCATGGCTACACAAGCATTTGCTTAGGAAACGAGCGCAATGCAAATAAAGGTAATTTGGTTTGGGATGGTGAAGAGATCAATCATCAGTGGATAAAATCGTATGAATGCGAGAGCCTCCTTTCATCAAAGAGAATCTGATATCTAATTTGTCATACTTCAGTTCCCTGATGCCAGTATATGATCCTTTGATATTTTCTTACCTTGCACCTCATGCTTCTGCTATGCCTTTCACTCACTCGTGTAATTTGGGTAAACCATGGTGTCTTTGCTGTCCAAAGTGCTGCTATGTCTGGTTTGGGATTCTCAGCTTATTTTCCCCAAGATATTGTCCTTGATACTTTTGGTGATAAGAATTTTTTCAATGTAGAGGAGTACCAAGTCTTCTTTATTCAGATGCTCGGCCTGGGAACTCAAGAAACCATTTGAATGCGTAGGTGAAGTACCAGAGGTCCAACTTGCTTTTGCATTGTGTCGTTCAAAGGGTATCACAGGTAAAGCAATGGAGATTTTTGATGAAAAAGTAGCAGCCAATTTTGATGTCAAAAAATACGATATTATAGCCAAGTATAGTAAAGCCTATACAAGTGAGATTGGTATTCCAGAGTCATTGGCTGAGAGCATGCTGTCAAAGCTAGGCCAAGTGTCCGAGAAGTGTAAGGAGGATATCTTGAAACAACTTAAAACTGACTGTTAATATTATTATTATCATTATGAGTGGATCATGTACATTTACTCTATTATCTTTGTTAACAGTCATTATGATTCTTCTTCACAAGAGTACTCTTGTTCTTCATTATTGATGAAATGGTACATCATGTAGCTTTTGTGCATGCTTATAATGACAAAGAATCAAATCTGTCTGATTCTATAGATATCAAGTCTATCACTATCATTATCTTGATCATTATATCAGAGAATTTACTGTTTAATTAACTAGAGATTAAGAATTCAAGTATATAAATTTATCATGGAATTCTATTTCTTTATTAGTTTGTCTGATAATTGTTTCAGAGACTTGAGCCCTGATATCTGTATAGTTAGGAAACCCATCATCTCATCTGGATCAGCAACACTCAATACTGAATAAATAGATAAATGAGAAAAATAGTCAGTAATAATAACAAGAGATAAACTAAAATAGAACTGTCTATACTACTCAGTTTTCATACAAATACATGTACAGTATAGGTTTACCACAAGATTAAGTTATGATACATGTATATCATTTAAATGACTATATAATTATGCATGTAATATTATGTTGAGTAAAAAGTTCAGTTGAGCTGATTCTGATCAAGGTTTTAAAAGTTGCTCAAAAATGGGGCCAAAGTCCCTGTACTATGGTCTTGGGCCAAATTAATTTGTCAAAATTGAAAATAAAAGAATTTGGAATTTTTAATAAATTTTCTGTACTTACAGTATGTTGTGCAGAAAGTTTGAGCTAATTCCGATCAAAATTGAATTTTTTTACAAATTTTAAAAGTTGCTCAAAATTTGGACCATAGTCCTACAGGGTCACTGGCCAAATTTTGCTAAAATCAAAACAGAAAGAATTTGCCAATGTTATAGCTTTTCTTAATGCATATACATGTACATGTTCTTATGTTGTGTAGAAAGTTTGAATAGATTCCGACAAGAGTGGATAATTATCCACTCTTGATTCCAATCAAAACTGAATTTTTTAAGAATATGAAAGTTGCTCAGAATTAGGGCCTAAATCCCTGTACATGGTCTTTAGTCAAATTTGTCAAAATTGAAAAAGAGAGAATTCTCCATAAGTTTGAGTTGATTCCCATCAAAAATAGATTTTTTTAAAAATTCTTAAATGATTTACTCCAAAAGACATGTACTATTTAGTTCACTTAGCATGCTTTCTGAGAAACACTGATTGTACAAACACACACACAAACACAGAGTTTTCATTATTTCTTACCATCTTCATCAACAACGACAGAATCGCCTTCTTCACTCTGCAATATCTAAGTACAATAATAAATAAATGTAAATAATACATTTCCTATCATTATAGAGGATAATAACATATACATGTAGATAATATAATATCTATGATAATAATGAGTTAATGACACCATTATACTACGAAATGCAAAGACAAGAAGGTTTACATGTACATAAATTCTTGGCATTTTCTTGGAAAATTTTGTAACAATTATTGATAGTGACATAAATTATTTGTTGCACTAACTTCTAACAGTTTCAAATTAGCAGTGCCCAGTTCCTGACATTCAATATTATCATTATCATCTTCTTCTTGAGGATCATGCACTAGGTTCAGTTCTATTCTATACGTGTACAGTACAAAATGTCATATACCATATGGTAGGGTTTTTTAGGATAACAAGTTTCGAGAATTTTGCAGATTTTTAAAGATTTTGCAAAATTAAATTCCCTAAAAATCAATTTAATACAGTACAAGATGGCAAAATAGTGAAAATCCAGGAAAATTATTTTGTAAGCCTCCAAATACTAGGTCATTCCTGAAAATGATTATCCTCAAAAAACTCACTATACAGAGCTTCATTATACTCTCATACTATATCATAATACTGTACTTACATTGGTTCATTACTCAATAAGAATTCTTGTAATAAATTCATTGAATTGCTCATTGGGAGAATGTGAAAATCTGCAAAAAACAACACATGTACACATACACATACAGTACAGTACACACATACATATACATGTATAATCATACATGCATGTATATGTACATGTATTTTATGGTTTTCATGGTTTTGGGGTGTACCATTAAATAATTGAAGTGCCATTCCCTTTAAACTGTCAACCATTAAAATTATAACTATGCACAAACATTGTAAATACATGTTCATGTCTATGCATGTACATGCACACTATATAATTATTTTACATGTACAGTATATTATGATTTAGTACACAAAACACATAATGCCTTACATGTACATGCATTTTTTTACCTGTTGTGAAATTAAAGATGGCTGGTTGTCCAGGAGGTGGTTTTGGCAGAGATATAGGCGTTTCTAATTCATCAATATCATAATCAAGAAAAGAATATTCAACAAATATATTATTAACATTAGGATCAGAGAGTACAGCAGCATCTTCCTCTAATGTAAATGAGATGATTGTTAGAGAAAAAAATACCTAAAGATAAAGAGACAGGGAGAAAGAGATGACCACTATAACTTGAGTATACATGTACATACCGTAAATCCTTAAATAGAAGCCGCATTTGAATAAACGCCGGGGTAGCAATACAATTTAACTATAAATACGCAACACTAGCCTAGGAGTGACTCAGTAGTCTAGTGGATAATGCCTGAAGTTCCAGAAGTCAAAAGCATGAGCTCACGGGTTCGAACCCCGCTCTGGGCCTAAGTTTTTTAATTTTTTATATATTTTTTCGAGGTCCAAATACCATTTTAGGAAATAGACGCCCAGGCTTTTATTTAAGGAAATACGGTACACGTACATACATGTACATAGATTACAAATTTACAAAAAATACTTCACTAGAAACCTAAATATTTTGTCATTATTATGATGTACATGTACATTGTAGCTTTTATCAAGACCGAAATTTTATACATGCATGAGCATGTACACCTGTACGTGTACATGTGCTTTTTTGTCTAAAAGTTAAAATAATAGACCATGGTTTTTTGGCTTGAAAATAATCTTCAATTTTTATTACCATTTTTATATAAAAATATAACATAATGATGTTGTTATGCTGTGCAGAAAATTTGAACCGAGTGTGAGCATTAAAAATGAGCCAAGTTTTGAAAAGAAGCAAAGGCTACATGTACACTGCATATAGCCCATAATTTTTTTAGAAGAATGGCTTTAAAATCACCCCCCCCCATTTATTACATTTTCTGTCCTGATGCTGTCTAGAAAGTTTGAATTGATTCTGACAAATGCTCCTTGAGTTATAAGCATTTTTAAAATGAGCAGATTCTCAAAAAAAAAAGCAATGGCTAAAGCTCATGGTTTTTTTTCATAACAATGGCTTTGAAATAACCCCAATTTTATTACATTTAGCTGATACATATTGATGTCCTTATATGCTGTACTGAGAGTTTGAGTTAATTTCAACAAATAATTACATGTATTTTTCCAGTTATAAGCATTTTTAGAAAAGAGCCTATTTTTTGTTATACTTTTGTGGGAAGCCAGGACTTACAAGAGAAGGACCAAAAAGGCAAACATGATATTGAAATTTTATCACCATTAATTACCACAATTATAATAATAAAAGAATCACTGTATAATGTACCTCTTCTGTATTCAGTTTAGTTGATAGTAAATCATTAGCTTCGTGCAATAATACTGGACTATCATTCTTATACTTCACTTCATCTTCACTCAGTGAGTCCTCAGTAGGTGTAATATCAGGGAGAGGTATATCTAAATATACATAAATATTATAGTGCAAATGAAATACATCATCACATAAAATGGTACATGTATATGTACCTGTACTATATGCATCAGAAAATTAGAGAGTTTGTAGACGTATAAAGTACAAGTAAATTTGTGCATAATATAAGGAGTACATTTACAGGTAAAATGTACATGTACATGTATTATGATGTATGTACGTGTACATGTATGTGGCCCAAAATTTTGGGCAAAAGTCACAACTGTATGTTGGCCTGCTACAAAGATATGCCTAAATAGAAAATTAAAATTTTAAGTGCATATATTATATCACAATTTTTGGGCTTTGAAATTGTCCATGTACACAATGTATACAACAATGTACAGTACATGTACCTTCTTCTTCAAATGAACTATCACCAAACAATGTATCATCAGTTACTGCTAGTCTGTCTTTACCAGGAGACACTCTAAGATGAGGAGAAACAGGAGGAGAAGGACTCAATTCAACAGAATCTCTTAATGAAGGAGTAACATCTGATGATACACCAGTTGGAGAATGAGTGGGAGAACGAATGGGTGAACCAGTTTTAAATTGAGTGAGAGAACCAGTTCTAAATTGAGTGGGTGAACCAGTTGGAGAATGATTTGGAGAACGAATGGGTGAACCAGTTTTAAATTGAGTGGGTGAGCCGGTTCTAAATTGAGTGGGCGAACCAGTTGGAGAACGAGTGGGTGAACCAATTTTAAATTGAGTGGGTGAGCCGGTTCTAAAATGAGTGGGCGAGCCAGTTGGAGAATGAGTGGGCGAGCCAGTTGGAGAATGAGGGACAGTTGATGGTGAAAGAGAGACAGGAGTAAAGTGAGTGTCAGTGGAATGAGAAGGAACATGTTGAGTTGCTGTTTGTGGAGATGAAGTAGTTTTTATTGCAGTTGAGTGATCATTAATATACTGTCCTTCAAGGAGTTTATTATTATGTTCATTAGTTGATGCATGTTTAGTAGTTGATGTGTTGATAGTTGAATTTGATTGAACTTCAAACATTTCAGTGCTACTGATTGGTACTGGAGTGTGTCCAGTAAATGGTCTATTTCTTCTATAAGCAACCTCCGCCAAACGTGACTCTAACTTCTATTGAAAGAATAGATGACCATGAAATACATGTACATGTACTGTAATTTACGTACCATAGATACATTGTATACAAGTAGCTAGAAATTTACACACACATGTACATTGTATGTGGTCGATGGTCCCAAAATTTCTACTATTTTTGTAGATTTTGAGAATTTTAATTATTAAAAGTTTTATCCTTTTATCTTAAGACAGGTCAATGTACATTCATAAAAATAAAAACCAAAAGAGAAATTTTACTCGCCTTAGTCACAAAAAATGGGTCAAAGATAATTTCCAAAAGATGGTGATGTACGTACATGTACAAGTACTGTACAGTAATCAAGTGACTAATATATTTTGCAATAAATGTACATCTATATGTACATGTATTTTTTCCTAAATAAAATGTACCGGTATGTGTACTCAGTAAAATTACCACGTACATGTACAATTATTAACAATATTATATACATGTACTACTAACCTTGATTTTATCATTCTTCAAGTCTAGCATTTGTTTCAAATCCTCACACTCATTCCGTCTTTCCTTAACTTCATTATGTAGTATTTCAAGCTCTTTCTTGTAATCTGATGATATTTTGGATTGAAGGGCTAGCAACCGTTTAGTCTTATCTAATGTTAATCTCAAATCATCTACTTCTTCTGTACCACCTGACGGGGAAAAACATGTACATGTAGTCGTGTATTGTAGTTGTACAGTATATCAAAGATAGGGACATATTCACGACTGGAATTATTCATGGTAATGGTAAAATATTACCTGGTATACTTGTATACTGTACATGTACATGTATCAATAATTTAACATATGTAAATGATGTAAAACTGTACAATATGCTTCATGTACATGTACATTAAATGTGCAAAATAAAAATTAATATGCATAAAATATGTACATGTATTTTACCGATATTTCTTGGCCTGGCATGTTCCTTAGTAGATACTAAGGCAGTCCCTCTGTCTTTCTTCTAAAGAAATACACACAATATAAACATGTAACTACACTATATACATGTACATGTACATTATTTCAAACAGGGTTTCCCACAAAGCATGCTTAAGCGAGCTCAACAGCTGACAAAAACTACAGGACAAAATATTTTATGATATAAGGAGACTCTGGCTGCTCATTACGAAGCTCTGTGGTGATACAGCTAAAGGTCAAATTAGTTGGGGTATTGCTATATCTACTACTTGGTTGGTGCATATGATACTGGAAGGACAGCTACGGCAAATATATACAGATATAAAAATAGACTAACTCACACTGCCATAACATACTACAACAATGACCCAGATTGTGAAGCTGGCAAGTATGCCTATATGTATGGGGAAATATTAGGGATACAGTCTATCTTTGTCAGCTATACTACAATACTCAAACATTTTGCAGAAAGACTGCAGAAAGCAAGGAGGGTACCCTGCTTCATGAATGGTCTCACAGTTTTGCCGATACTATTGACTATAGCTCTGGAAGTATGGTCAGGACTTGTGTAAGTATTTGGCTAAAAACAATCCTAAGTGATAAAGCAATCAAAAATGCTGATGATTACTGTTATCACTATTGTGATGCTCAGTAATGGAGCTCATCAGCTAAAAGCCAAAAACTTTAGGACTCATGCAACACTATAGGACATGCACAGTTTATTTTTGTTGCTTTATGCCTCATTTTGTTTAACTGTAATATTATACATTTTTGATTACTTAATCATCTTGGCTTAATGATCATTAACAATATTGAATTTAAAATATCAAGATTGAGCATATAGACATGTGACAATAAGCAAGAGTACTCTTGCAATTAGACATAGACCATACATGCATGTGACCATGATTAGCATAGTGCTGATTAATAAATAAGATGAAGCAAATCAGGGCCATGAGATTGTAGCAAGACTAGTGAAAGCAAGGAGATACACAAGGAGTACTTAATCATGAATGGGTTCATTGTGATAACCAGACCTAATAATTATTAATTCCACAATGCATCATCATTTAGGGTTGGTCATCTATTTTAAAAGGGTGTGTTTTGTAGTAATCATTGTACATTGGCAAGCAAAGTCTACAGCAACGTTTCATCTATGCACATACATTTACATGCACTCATTGTACAATTAAAGGTGGACATATTAGTATTTTTACTATACTTATTGTTCCTTTACAGATGGCAATGAAGAAAGTTCATTAAGTCTAACTACCCCAACCATTATTTCTGACCAACAGTTACTATCGCGTAAACATGGCTGTATTGGAGCGGCTGCTTCTAGGTTATAGCCCATAATATTCGTGAAAAATGGCTCCAAAATCACCCCAAATTTTTATTACATTATCTAATACGCATTGATGTCCTTATACTGAGTAGAAGTTTGAGCTGATTCCAACAAATATTTTTCGAGTTATGAGCAATTTTTTAGATAGATCAATTTTTGAAAAAGGCAAAGGCTATATATAGCCCATGGTTTCTTTTTAAAAAATGGCTCCAAAATCATACCAGTTTTATTCCATCTTCTGATGCATATTGATGCTGTTAAAGACAAAATAGCCATAGATACTGGTTATGTATTGATTGTTGATGCTATAGGAAGTGAATACTCTAGTTATGGCAATTTCACTGGAAAGTTAGATAGCGTAGTAGCTTGGCCATCACTTCAACTGTTGCAATTCCAAGGATACAGTCATAGGTCAATACAAAGACCTTTTGTTCAAAATGATTGATGTCAAGCAGATAGCCTCTGATTGGTCAGTTTTTGCTTAATTGCTAATGAATATTGATGAGGTACTTAATACTATATAAGGAGGTGACCAGCAGCAGTCAATCACTTCTCACTGAAAGAAGAAATCATCTCATAAGAAGGACACTGTCTATCAAGGAAAGGAATCATGAAGACTCTGCTCTCACTCTTCTGTCTGGTTTCTTACCTGACCTGTGCTCTGAGGTATGTTACTACAGTATCAAATCAATGTTACTTATCCCTTGTACATGCAGTGCTAATGGCTGGCCAGTCTCTCTTGACATGTCTTGTAATAAAGCTCTTTCTGCAGTTGCTTGCTCTTTTGAGTTTACCA